GGGCGGCTCGGGCGCTGCTCCGTGGCTGGCAGACGCTTTCTGCCTCCAGGAGAGCCTGAGACCCAGGCTCCCTCAGCCAGCTCCAGGGCAGGGGCTGGGAGCTATGTACCAAGAGCATAAGGGCCACACCACCGTGGGCAGGTGTGCATGCCCGGGAAGTCCTACAGGCTGGGCTTCCACTCCAGGACCCTGGCCTGCCTCCTGGTATAGCTCCCGGCGCTGCAGTCACTGGGTGGCAGCGACAGCCCTGAGGCCGGACAGACGTGGAAAAGAAGAGATGTCACTCCCAGTGGCCGCCTTTTCTGAGGCTGTGAGCTGCCTGGTATCCCTGCACAGGGCCTTCAATGGCACGGCCACAGGCCCTCCTGGCACTGGCCTCGGGGCACATGGCCATGGGGCGCTCCGACCACACGGTCCATTGAGGGTGGTGCTCAGCAAAGACGGCTTAGAGGAGAGAGAACGCACCCAACAGTCTCTACCAGGGATGTGTAGCCAGCTGCGGCCCCAGCCTTATTGATCCCAGGGCAAATGGCGTGAGGGCGGCCCAATAAATACCCACCCGGCGAACGAACAGAAGCCGTCCAACACGCACAGAGGCTGGCGAAGTGCATCGGGTAGTGCCGACGCGCCGAGAGCGCCTTCCAACCGGGCACCGGGCAGCATGCGATGCTCATGTGATCTCACCAAAACCCCGTGAGAACCCAGATTACACAGAGGGAGGAACAGGGCCCAGTGGCTGGTGTACTCATCTGCTCTGCGGCCACGACGAGTCCCACAGACTGAGGGGTCAGGGGGTGGGGGTGGATCGTGTTCAACAACAGGGATGTCTTTCCTCGAAGTTCTGGAGGCTGGAAGTCCAAGGTCGGTTCTCCCGAGTCCTCGCTCTCTGGCTTGTAGACGGCTGTCTTCCCCCCATGTCCTGTGTGCGTCTGTGTCCTAATCTCTACTTGTAAGGACACCAGTTGACCTGGCTTGGAGCCCACCCCCAATGACCTCATTTAACCTTAAATTCCTCTTTGGAGACCCTCGCTCCAAACACAGTCACATTCTGAGGTGCCTGGGCTTGGGACTTCAACATATGAATCGGGGAGTCGGGGAGGGGGAGCATAATTCATTCCACACCAGTGAGCAAGAGACCAGAGGATGCAACACCGCAGTCCAGCCCTGGAGGCCACACTCCTCACCACTAGGCTGCACTGTCCCCCACACGGCGGACCAACAGGAAGTCTGTAAAGAGTTTAGCATGGAAAAGTAGATGTGAACGTTCAACGACTGGACACTAAATTTTTAAAATGCACTGAAAATAAACACAACGATCCCAAATATGCTCTTTACGAGTGTTTGTGAATACTTTGCAAAGTACATGATTAGCTAACCACTGCTGTACACCTGAAACTAATATAAAATAACATGGAATGCAAACTGTAATGAAAAAATAAATTTTATAAAAAAGGTGTTTGTGTACAAAGGAAATAAATATCTTCAAAGGTCAGTGTCGTGGATTAAACGGTGTCCCCCCCCCCAAATTCCTGTCCACCTGGAACTTCAGAATGTGACCTGACTTGGGAACAGGGGGGGTTGAGGATGCCGAGATGACAGCCTGGATTTAGGGAGGAGAGGACAGAGACACACGCAGAGGGAAGAAGGCCCCGGAAGACAGAGGCAGAGGCCGGAGTGACGCACCTACGAGCCAAGGAACGCCAGCAGCCACCAGAAACTAGGAAGAGGCAGGAAAGGAGTCTTCCCGCCCAGCTGGCGTGGCACAGGGGTTGAGCATCGACCTGTGAACCAGGGGGTCACGGTTTGATTCCCGGTCAGGGCACATGCCTGGGTTGTGGGCTCGATCCCCAGTGTGGGGCGTGCAGGAGGCAGCCAATCAATGATTCTCTCTCATCATTGATGTTTCTGTCTCTCTCCCTCTCCCTTCCTCTCTGAAATCAATAAAAATATATTTTTTAAAAATAAAAATCAATAAAAACATTTTTTTTAAAGGAGTTTTCCCTAGAGCCTTCTGAAGGGGTGCAGACCTCCTGACAACTTGATTTCGTACTTCTGGCCTCATGAGCTGTGAGAATAAATCTCTGTTTTAAGCAACTCAGTTTGTGACAACTTGTTATGACAGCCCTTGGAAACTAAATTATTGATTTCCCCTCACTCCTCAGTGAGCACAGAAAATGAGCTGGCCCTCAGGCTTCTAGAAGGTTCTATAAAACCAGGACACTCTGATGGGGGGAACTGGCCTCCCTGGGACTGGGCTGTGACCATCACCTGACCCACACGCCTCAGGTTGTCTGTGGGGCAGAGGAAACCGTGGCACCAAGTCTAGGACGGGGGTGAGGCTCCAGGTGGGCAGAGCGGCCGGCAGAGCAAGGAAGCAGCCAGTCCTGCCCAGGCAGCCGATGAGGCAGAAAACGCAAGTTGGCAGCTAAATTGCATTCCGCGCGTCTTTTTTTCCCCCCCCAAGACAGCTGTGGCTCAGCAGGTTTCGGGTTTTGGCAGCCCCACATGTGAGCTGCATGCCCAGACTGTAAACTGTTTGGCGTCGTTGCCTGGGGATGCAATCCTGCAGGCAGCTGGAGGTGGGAGCCTTCTGCCCACGTGCAGCTATGCACACAGCCCCACACCACCAGGTCATTGCACAGCCAAGGCGCCCCTCCCTCTCCGGACCCCTTCCAGTGGGGACTGGCTGGGACCTGCCTTTCCGTGGACCCCAACTTGAGAGTGTCCCGGATCTGCCGCTGCAGACAGGGACTCCCTCCCGGAGCCCTCCTCATCCACGTGGAGCGCGAGCTTTCCCAGCCTTGAACGCCCCTCGGTGAAGATTTCAACACTGTCCCAATTAAGCACATTTCAAGCCTAATAAATCTCCTACCACTTCTCAGAAGACAAGGACACTGGGTACAAGGAGGGGCAAATCAATCTGTTCATGCAAGTTTTATTAATGGGACTTCATGTTTGCTGCAAGAACTGGGTTTAGTTTTTATATTAAAAAATTGCTGAAAGGCCTTAGCCAGTTTGGCTCAGTGGATAGAGCATCGGTCTGCGGACCAAAGGGTCCTGGGTTCGATTCTGATCAAGGGCAGGTACCTAGGTTGCAGGCTCCTCCCTGGCCTGGGCCTTGGTCAGGGCTCCTGCAGGAGGCAGCCAATCGAAGTGTTTCTCTCACATTGATGTTTCTCTCTGTCTTTCCCTCTCTCTTCCACTCTCCCTAAAAACCAATGGGAGAAATATCCTCGGGTGGGGATTAACAACA